CCCACAGAAAAAAAAAAAAAAAAAAAAAAAAAAGGAAACCAGTAGTGTTAATCTTAACTTTTTAAAATGTAGTATCTTAAATCAGGAAGGATGCTGCTCTGCGATACTGTCCACTTGAATTCCCAACTCTGGCTTAATGGGAATTAATAACACATTTTAATGATGCTTTTAACAGGAACTGTTAAGGCTGTGGAAGCATGAGTGTAAACGTGTTATAGCCGATCGTTTCACGGTATCTGATGATGTGACCTGGTTTGATATGACTTTAGTAAACTTGGTGGAGGAGGAGTTTGGTGAAGAGAAAAAACTCTTGGTGAATTGCGGAATTGACACTTATTTTGTGGACTTCTTGAGGGATGCACCTGAAGCTACAGGTAAATTATTGAAGCAGAATTTGAAATTCCCCAAAGGGATATCTGAAGACAAGATCAGTTCAGGGATATTGAATTTCTGTTTAGTAAACTTTACTGAGACAAGCCTGGGACATATTAGATGCTCAATAAATACAGAATGAGTAGATGAATGCGTACTCATGGAGTTCAAAGATTAATCATTTTAATGCACATCAGTCTTGGATATTAAGGTAGATTTGGGAGGCATACTATGGCAGAAGACAGTGCTAAAGGCTTACAGCTGTCACATAGAGGTAGATTTAAGGAAGGGATCGCCCACATGTTACCTGGGCAAGTCTCTGAACTTTATCGAACCTCATTCTCCTCATTTATAAAAATGGAAATATTAATATATGAGTCATGGGGCACTGTGGGGAGTAAGTGAAATGTTATCTGTGGATGGCTTGGGCAGTCCGTGGCTTGTACTCACTGCCAGATGAAACATAGCAAAACTATGATAATTATTACTCGAGTATTCCAGGTGCTGAAAATAAAGAGAAAAACCTCACATCCTCTGAGAGGGCTGTTGAATACAATAAGAAAGAGGTAGGTGATGTTGAGGGAAGATTTTGTGGTTATGGTTCCATAAAAAATTGAGATATATTACTTTTCTTATTAAAAGAGGTAGGGCTCCAATTATTTTTTTCCTTCAGAAATAACTGAGCTTAAGTAGAATATTTTTCTTTCATTTAGAAACCTAATACTGAGGAGGAATTTTAAGTTAATTTTCATATTCAAAAAGGCATGTTTAAACACATGCTATTTATATCTTCTAAATGATTGAAAATGACCAAGCAGCCCCTTACTAGATTAGATAAGGATGTATGTGATCTGTTAAGTTTCTGAGTGACAATTGCAAAGGGAGGTTTATTGCTGGCTATGCAGTTGGACTGATCCTTCCACAAAAAGAAGCTGATGCAGTTTATTTTCAGTCAGGCCACACACATCCAAAAATCATGTAAAGGTAAGACCATTTACAAGGTAAGTAGAATTTATGTATTTTATTTCCTCTAATTCAGAAGGATAAGTAACTAGATTACGGTTTTCAAGGAGCAAAGTGCAACTGCAGCATTGTGGGGCGGGGGCTGGAGGTAGGGAGTTTGGTTGGGGGCGGGGTGAATGAGTCTAGAGGGAAGCACAGAACCTTTCAGTGACTTCAAATCACTTTGTCAAAGCTTGAAATGAGGGTTTTCCTGGTGGCGCGGCGGTTGAGCGTCCGCTTGCCGATGCAAGAGACACGGGTTCGTGCCCCGGTCCGCAAAGATTCCCCCAGGCTGCGAAGCGGCTAGGCCCGTGAGCCATGGCCGCTGAGCTTGCGCGTCCAGATCCTGTGCTCCACAAGGGGAGAGGCCCGCATATCATTAAAAAAAAAAAAAAAAAAAAAGTTTGACATGAACCTTTATGAAATAAGGAAGTGACTATAGAAATTCAATTAGTGGGAGCTTTGCAAATGGACCAAACCTAATAATTATGTTAAATCGATTTCCTTGCTTTGTCATAAAAAGGTTAAAATACTTTATATTAGGACAGGGTCAATTGAAAGTAATTATGTACTATCAGATTTGGAAGATCCACTCACTCTTCTAGTACCCAGTGAATTTCTAGGTTATTACTGTATCAGTATATTCAACTAATGTTAACTGAGAGTGAATTTACCTATGCCCAATTTAGATTTTTCTTTGGCATTATGCTTTATAGTCAAAGTTGGAAAAGTATTAAACTGGTATGTCATGTGTTTCTAATTTTTAAAAAAGTTTAGTGATTTTAATACTTTTCCCAGTGAGATAACTCAATGTTTATTTATTTAGGAAATCATTGTTTCTATTTTCTCTCTACCCTTCACCTCCATTCCCCCAAATACACTTCTATTCTCACCACAAACTTAAAATTTCTGACTCATAAAATTTTCCTAAGCAAATGCAGTGACCTTTTTCTTTTTATTCTTATTAAAAAATAATTTAATTTTTGATTTCTCTTGCTGATTTTGACATTAAATCCCTACTTTTTCAATCTTCATTAGCGAATATCTCTGGGAAGATCCTTGAAATGCCAATGGTCTATTATGGATTCAAATTAAATTCAATGTATATGAAATTATTTGAAATTGACCTTTTCTATACATTTAAGAATTAAGACTGCATATGATCACAAACATTCTAATGTTTTTACTACTGTTTGCTTTCTTTTCTTTTCTAAAAATACATACTCTGACATTTGGATAAAAATCAGTATTATTCAGTGCTAAATTGTAGAGCTATGAGTGTATTAATTTAGGTTGAAGGAAGTGGTAAAGTCCAGTGATTTGAAGAAACTTAATTGATTTTTCTTCCCTAGCCCCAGGTGAAACATCTGAGGAGGTTGATACTGAGATGCCCAAAATTTATGAGCCAGTTGAATCTTTTGATCAGCTGAAGGATCGTTTGAATATGTTCCTGCAGCTCTATAACGAGAGCATCCGTGGCGCTGGCATGGATTTGGTGTTCTTTGCAGATGCGATGGTCCACTTAGTCAAGGTCAGTGGCCACACCTGGTAGCACCCCCCAAAATGACAGACACTTGCCTTTACTCCAGATTTTTTTCCCTCCTCTTTCATTTTCTTCTTCTAGGAGAAAATTCAGTTTAAAAATAAACCCAATGCTATATTCCAATTTAATTTCTGAACTGAATGCAACATGTCACACTTATAGGGTTAAAATCAGAGCAGGTGTACTTCAAATGTGTGATATGATAATTTTATTCACTGTTGCTATACTGCTTCCAGCTCAGCGTTTTCACTACATAGAATGAGTGTGGTTGACATCTGAGTTCAAAGCACAGGCACAAAGTCTGCTTATAATGCAAAGGATGACTATAAAAAATAGTACATTGGTTTTGAGGACATTATGCTAAGTGAAATAAACCAGCCACAAAACCACAAATACTGTATGATTCCACTTATATGAGGTCCCTAGAGTAGTCAATTCATAGAGACAGAAAGAATGGTGGCTGCTGGGGGCTGAGGGGAGGTGAATGAGGAACGTTTAATGGTACAGTTTTATTTTTGCAAGATGAAGAGTCCTGGAGATGGATGGTGGTGATGGCTGTACAACAACATGGATGTACTTAATGCCACTGGACTATACTCTTAAAAATGGTTAAGATGGTAAACTTTATGTTGTGTGTATTTTACCACAGTTAGAAATAATAGTTAAAAATAGTGCATAGGGCTTCCCTGGTGGCGCAGTGCTTGAGAGTCCGCCTGCCGATGCAGGAGATGCGGGTTCGTGCCCCGTTTCGGGAAGATCCCACATGCCGCGGAGCGGCTGGGCCCGTGAGCCATGGCCGCTGAGCCTGCGCGTCCGGAGCCTGTGCTCCGCAAATGGGAGAGGCCACAACAGTGAGAGGCCCGCATAACGCAAGGAAAAAAAAAAAAAAAAAATAGTGCATAAACAGTTGATTTTGAGTTGGGATGAAAATTCTGTTACAATGAAATCCACCAGGAAAGTACAGTTGCCTTTCTACTTTGTCATGAGTCATTACAATTTCCAGTCACTGTAATGATTGACCCTCAAAGGTTAGAAGTAAAATATATTATTTACTTGATAACTTACCTGACCTAATTTATTGATGGTGGGAGATAATGCCATTTAAAATTCGTCGTTGATATTCTCACTTTATTGATGTCAGTTATTTTTTCAGACTACATCCTTTTAATTAGAACGAAGACAATTTGAGGCTGTCTCCCATTACTTAGGCTTAACCATGAGGAACAACACAAGTTGTCACCTCTAATAATTGCAAAAGCTTAGAACTGGAGAGGGTTTTAGAGGTTACTTAGTCAACTCTCCCTCTGAAAATTGAGGAGGCCAGACTAAGTCAGGGAGAAGGAGGAAAACAGAGAGTGTGTTCTGAGGTTGGATGTCCCCAGCATGAGGACACTTAGCTTGGCAACTGAATTCTCAGAATCTGAGATATCTACTGAATTATGAGTGCAAGTGTTCTTCCAAAGCCAAATATAAATAACATTTTGAAATTAGCTCCTAATTTATAGTTGACTAAAAGTCAAAAGGAAGAATGGAGATACTATCCTATTTAATGATTAAAAGGAAGAAGACAAAAAGAACAACATTTTCTAAATAAATAATATCAGAGGCAACATCATGACTAAGTGTCTATGGAGACAAAATCTGATTGGCTTGGGATTCCATAACAGCTTAAATTGAAATGAATTTATGTTAGTCTTGTGCTTGAGGATGTTCGTTAGAAATGTTTTATTTTTCTGGGTTTTGCAGCACAGATGATGCATTTCTTCACTTTGGGTATGACATTCAAGGCATGTGTGCCTCAGTACAGGTCCTTGACTGTGTTTTCCCTAACTCTCAGCCTCTAGTGTGCCTGCTCTGGGATTGGCCAAAGAATTCATGATTGGAGTTTCTGAGCTAAAATGCTACATTCCTTACTGTTTTCTAGGCCAACCCTCTCTTCTATACTCTTGCTTTCTGTGTACAGTTACATCCAAACTCTGTCATGTGGGTGTGAGCCTTGAAATATGTGACCTAGTTATAAGACATGATAGAAGCCAAGAGACAGGATTGAAGATGAAAACTGCAGCAAAACAGGATGTGATCTGAAACCAAGTGTGTTTCTTAGTTCCTTTCTTAATCAAAATAACAATTTTCTTTTAAAACCAAGAATATCTCTGCGATATCTCTTGTGCCTCTTTGGTTAAAGTTCAAATCATGGTGTGTATTGTTTTTCATCATCTAGTCCTTGCCTACCACTCTACCCCTTGTGGGTGGTGCTCTGCTTAGGGTGTAATCCAGAAAAATCAACTGCTTGTGCTTAAACACATCCTGATTCCAGAGCACCTCATCAATGCTGCATTCCCAGCAGGTGTTGTGTTGTATAGAATTTATCTGTTTGTATCTGTCTTCTCTGCCAGACTGTAAGCTCTGTGAGGGCAGGCACCCACTTTATTCCCCTTCATATTCACAGGATGGAGTATTGCTGAGACAGGCACACTTGTGATGCTTGATAAATAGGTTTAGAATTTAACCAAGTCCCCAGTATGGCCCTAAACAATGCTTTGCACCTTATTTCCTGATATTTCCATACCTGGTACTGAAGTTCCCATCCCTATGAGGACACCTCAGGCCTTTTGCTGATTCTGAGACTTTGTGCATCCCATCCCCTCTTCTTAAAATTTAGCCCACTTCCTGCCCAGTGTGCCATTTTCTTTGCATCATAAACTTCTAGTTATCGTTCAAGATCTAGATCAAATTCCAGCTCCGCACCTAAGACTCACCTTCACAAGCAGTGTTGTTTCCTTTGCATTCTTTCCTCCAGTTGCCATCATTCCTATCCACCCCAGCATTCACCATGGGGCATTATTGCATGTTTCTATTAATAGGTCTCTCAGGATGTGAGCACCTGTAAGGCAGGATGGGCATTATTAAGTTTTAAAATATTTGCTAAAGAAATTAAAAAATGAGTGTCTGTATGTTACAATCTATAGATAGTAGGACAGGATAGTCCCATTTGAAGTTCTCACTTGACTGTGTTTTCTCTTATAGTTTCTGTTTTTAACTAGATTATGAGTTTTTTGAGTCTGCTTTTAAAGTCTTCTATTTGTTTATATATGATCATTTGTCAAATATGTTTTAAGGTTTCTCATGTGCTAGAAACTGGGAATGGAAAACTTTAACACCTAAGCCCAGTTGCAGGAAAAGGTGTTGGGATGGAAGTTCCTTATACTTGATTAACCACAATTATTTAAAACCCTAATATATTCACCAGCATCAGCTAAAGGAAATGGTTTATGAAAAAAGTTATATATTTTGAAAAAGTTAACCAAGAAACAACACAGATGAATCTAGGATGGCCTGCAGTAGCTTCTTACCTGTCTTATCTATCTATGCCTCTTGAAGTAACACCAGGGAAAGAATATGAATAGACACTGGCAAAATCCTAAGAATTCTTGCTAGTACCACTCCTCCCCTGCTTATAGCAACTTAGGAGAGCATCACATGGAGAGGATGAGTAGGAGGCTGGAAGAGCAGAGCATATCACTTACTAATCTTACCGGGATTGGTGGGCCAGGTTCTTAGGTCCACAACAAAGAAATGTTCTCCTTTTCCAAGGGCTCACACTAAATTGGGGGATATAATCCAAAAGCAGTGGTAGTCCCAATAGGAATAGGGTATAGCCCCTGCCAGTGGAGGGAATCCTGAAAAAGGATGTTTAACAAAACCTTGTCAGAGGGGCTTCCCTGGTGGCGCAGTGGTTGAGAGTCTGTCTGCTAATGCAGGGGACACGGGTTCGAGCCCTGGTCTGGGAGGATCCCACATGCCGCAGAGCGGCTGGGCCCGTGAGCCACAACTGCTGAGCCTGCGCGTCTGGAGCCTGTGCTTCGCAACAAGAGAGGCCACGACAGTGAGAGGCCCGCGCACCGCGATGAAGAGTGGCTCCCACTTGCCACAACTGGAGAAAGCCCTCGCACAGAAACGAAAGACCCAACACAGCAAAAATAAATAAATTAAAAAAAAAAAAAAAAAAAACCTTGTCAGAATGCAGAGCCCAGGTTGTGCCAGAAGGCTTCTGCCAGCAACAGAGAAGTGATCCCTTCTCAGCCCCTAGATAGCTTTCTATCATTAGTTTAGAGAAAAGCTGGCATTACAGCAAAACTGCAGGCTCAAACTGCAGTTAGGAGGGAAAGACAGTCATCACATAAGGTGAACAATGCATCCAAGAGAATTCTACAGTGAATCCCCTTTAGGTGGGGTTGGAGACCTGATGGTGAAAGTAGTTTATCAAATACAAATAAAGCCAAAGAATCATGGACTTTTACCACAAATATGACTTGGAATGGTCTGGGGCTACTGACTGGCATAGAGTGGACTTCTGGTCTACCCATAATCACTTAGTAGCTACCTTAGGTATCACTATCTTTGCCAAATAATAAGGAGAGTGTTTATGCTTATTTTCTTCTTTTTAAATTCCATCATCTATGCCATATTTTGGAAATTTTCTTGCCTTCTATTTAAACTATGTTAGTTTTCAAATATGGAGGATACTCTAATTAACCTTGTGTTCTGTATTCCAAGGATACACATTGTTTTGAAATTTCTGTTCTTTTCCCTATCCTACTGAAGTAGATTGGCAAGCTAGAAGGAAACCTCAAAGTCCCCTTTATTTCTCTCCTTGAAAACCCAGAGCAAGCCACAGTCTGGGCTGTCTGATGACTTTTCTCTACTGGTCTCCTCCTATCCTAGTTTCCTAAAGGCACACACCCTGCTCCCCACCCTGTCCAATACTTCTTAAACACTGTTATATTTCAGAAATGCCTTCATTAGTCCAACCAGTATATCTTTCTATTCTGATCCTAAGACACGTACAGCTTCCAAAATGCTTATACAGGCATACCGTATTTTCCTGCCCTTTGCTTTAATGCACTTAGCAAATATGCAGTTTTTTACAAATTGAAGGTTTGTGGCTACCCTGAGTCAAGCAAGTCTACTGGTGCCATTTTTCCAACTTTTGCTCACTTCGTTTCGCTGTGTCATGTTTTGGTAATTCTCACAATACTTCAAACCCTCTACCAGCAAAAAGATTATCACTCACTGAAGGCTCAGATGATGGTTAGCATTTTTTAGCAATAAAGTGTTTTTCAATTAAGGTATGTACATTGTTTTTTTAGACATAATGCTATTGCAAAATTAATAGTGTAAACATAACTTTATGTGTACTGGGAAACCAAAAACTTGCTTTATTGCAATATTTGTTTTATTATGGTGGTATGAAACTGAACCTGCAATATCTCCTAGATATGCCTGTGTTGAATAAATAGGAAAAAAAAGTGGAATATTTGCACATTAAATGATACATGCTTTTTCTGTTTCATATTCTAGATCTCACGTGTCATTCGTACTCCCCGGGGAAATGCCCTCTTGGTCGGGGTGGGTGGATCGGGAAAGCAGAGCTTGACCAGGTTGGCTTCATTCATTGCTGGATACACTTCCTTCCAGATCACTCTGACAAGGTAACACGCTTTCGCTTTAATTAACCTGAAATGGATTTTGATAAATGGTTCTCAGAAGCCACTTGGGGTTAAGAAAGCATTTTTCTTATACATAAGGGAATCGTAATCGTTTTTCTTCTTGAATATTGACTTATCCTCCCCTTTCAACCTCTGTCATAGACCATGAAACTTTCACATGGATGATTTACTTTTGAAACACTTTAGCCTCTCATTTCAGTGAACAGCTGCCTCTCTGTTTTCATGTTATGCTTGATATGAGTATTGTGTATATTCCTTTTAGTGCATTTCAGAAGAAATTTGTCCCTACTAAATGTTAATTCAGGTTTCAAGAATGTTATTAAACTGGAAAAACAGATGAAAAGTTTATGCTGATTTACTCATTCATACATTTAAAAATATTCATTGAACACCAGCTGTGTGTCAGGCACTGGCTCAGTGCTGAGTGCTGAGATACACGGTAAGCAAGATAAACCTGGTTTGTGTCATCATGGAATTTACAGCAATTCAATGGGGACAGTTGAGCAACTCACTCAATAAGATGTGATACGTAGGTGCTCTCTCTGATAAGGAAATAAATGCAGACCAGACCAGAGTCTGTTGAAACGTGAGGGAAGGACTCCTAATCTTGTCTAAGGGATGGTCAGAAAAGGCTTCCTGGAGAAAGAGATGTTTCAGCTGAGACATGAATATGAGTAAGAATTATCTCAGAGAAGGGAAACAGTAAAGAATGTTCCAGGCAAAAGGATCAGCAGATGTGAAGTTACATTTGAGGGCCTGGAAGCAGTTAAATATGGCTGGTATGTAGGCTAAGGTGGGAAGTGGGAATGGAAGAGAAATGAAGGTCTTTGAAGGTATCATAAGGAATTTGGACTTCATCCTAGAGCAGTGGGAAACCATTAATGCATCACCCCTAGGGGAGGCACGTCACATCTGCATGTGGGGAAGGTGGATGAAGGAGCTAAGCTGGAAGGGTTATAAGCCTGTCTCAGGGATCTCAGCAGCAGATGGTGGTGTCCCGAGTGGTGGAAGTGAAAGGGGAGAAAAGGGAAGATTCAAGATATCCTTAGGAAGCTGGAGCTTCTGGACTTGGTATATCCTGGTTCTGGCTTGGGAAACTGGATAGTTGGCGCTGCTACTCATCAGGGTAGGGAATCCCAGAAGAGTTGTCCTCGGACATGTGTGTGCAGTGTGGGGAGAATTAGGAAGTGGAAAGGGCACATGTAGAGAGGCTAAACAGAACTTCAGGATCAACCGAGATAAGGTGAGAAGCAAGAGGCCAGTTTGGGAAGTTTATTTGGGCTGAATATTATTAGAAGTTAATTTCTAGGTGTGAGAGTCTTGCCCGTCGGGCATTGACTAAGCGTTGGCTTGGGGCTGTAGGCAAAACATGCTACTGATCTATCTCACTGATGGAGGGCCATAGCCACCTGCTGGGACAAAGGTTGGAAATGATTAAACATTGGGTTTGGAGATCCCGATACTCAAGTTGTTGTTGTTACACCTTTTATTTGGTCTAAATTACTGGATTCTGCTTGGAGAATCAATCTAAAACGTTACTGTGTCTTTCAAGTCCTGAAACAGAGAGAAATAATCTTAGTTGCCTTGTGTATAATTCTTCTAGTTTGTGGATAGAAGCAATGTTAGATAAAAGATAACCTGTACAGGAAGGGGATTGAACTCTGAGATTTTTTTTCTTAACATTTTGTATAAAACCTTATAGTTTTCAAAGCGCTTTTACATGCGCAGGCTAATTTGATCTTCAAAAGAACTTTGTGGCTTTGTGGGTTAGCAGGACATATCACAGCTGAGGTTCAGAGAGGCTATGATTTGCCTGAAGTCCCAGATAAACCTGGGAATTAACCACAAGATTTCTGGTTTCTGGTCTGCCATGACTTTAACTACACCATGCTGCCTCAGAAAACATACCTTACGAATCCTCTCTTTGTGATCAATTGGTTCCTCTGCAGGTCATATTGGGACGGCTCCAGTACTGATGAAAAGGAGGGCCAGGGCCTTCTCTGGCTTCTCATAACCTTCCAGAGATGATCCTACTGCCTTAGCCTTTGCATAGCCACATGGCCAAGGCTCAGGAAGCAAGGGCCTCTCCTTTGGGAAGCACAGCCATTTGTTAGATGACTCAGGTCATATTATTTGAGGCAGGGGGGTCCTTGAGATCCAGGGGACTCGAATGAAAGTTTTCCCCATATCACAAGAAGCTGGGGCGAGCTATTTTCCTTTGTCCTCTCCCTCCCTCCCCACCCCCTTCCTTCCTTCCTTCCTTCCTTCCTCCTTCCCTCCCTCCCTCCCTCCCTTTCTCTCTTTATTCTTTCTCTCTCTCTTTCACGGGACTGTGTCTTTGAAAATTTTTTCTGGTATCTCAGATCTCACTTTTCTAGCAGTCTTCTTGAAATATTGATGCATGGTAGTGGTATTTCTGGTTCTAGGGTTTAGGTTTTAAATGTTAAAAAAGCAGAGTATAGAAGTTAAATATTTGGTAGCTTTTTAAAAATCAGAAGGCCATTTGCTCTTGTGCTCTGAACTCTTGAGTTTATTTAATGACACAAAATTCAAATAATAATTTAGTGAGTCTGAGTCTCTAGGACTGGAATATTTTAATTTTTTACCTTTGGCAGTAATGGGCTACTCTATATTGTCTAACATTTCATGATTGCAAGTTGACTTCCACTAAGTGATTGCTTTGGATGTGAGAGATTTAGAGTGGGATATTTAATGTTTCCAACGATTCTACTATAGTGCACTGATTGCTCAGAAAACTCTTTCATGTGACGTCCAAAGATGCGATGAAAATAGTTGTGTTGGGAATGAGAAGGGTGCAGTTTACAGTGGGGCATCGCCCTCACCCCATATAATGAAGGCTTGAAATGCTTTAGTTTAGATTAGTTCAATTTATGAGGTATCTTCTAAAATATCAATTGCAGATGGGTGCTTAGTAAATATTAGAATTTGACATTTCCCTTACCTTTTTTTTTTTTTTTTTTTTTTTTTTTTTTTTCCGATACGCGGGCCTCTCACTGTCGCGGCCTCTCCCGTTGTCGGACGCGCAAGCTCAGCGGCCACGGCTCATGGGCCCAGCCGCTCGGCGGCACGTGGGATCCTCCCGGACCGGGGCAGGAACCCGCATCCCCCGCATCGGCGGGCGGACCCCCAACCACTGCGCCACCAGGGAGGCCCATTTTTTTTTTTTTTTTTTGTGGTACGCGGGCCTCTCACTGTCGTGGCCTCTCCCGTTGCGGAGCGCAGGCTCCGGACGCGCAGGCTCAGCGGCCATGGCTCACGGGCCCAGCCGCTCCGCGGCATGGAGGATCTTCCCGGACCGGGGCACGAACCCGCGTTTCCTGCATTGGGAGGCGGACTCTCAACCACTGCGCCACCAGGGAAGCCCTCCCTTACGTTTACTAACAAATATTTTCAAATGAAACATGTATATACGTTCTGATGGCATATTACGGTGTGGTTAAAAATTATACTTTTGCTTCAGGTTGATTTTTCACTCTAGATGTTTTTTGTGTGTAAAAATATAATGTTTTATAAAATGTGGAGTCTTAAAAATTATTTTAATTTCTGCAAGTAAATATAATGAACAAGTAATATTTACATACAATAAAATACCTATCTGATGGCACAATATCAGCATGTTTTGTTAACCAAATGGCATAAAGCATTGTTATAAGGGTCTTTCCTTCCCATTAACATATTATAGCTGATGACACGATGACAATATTTCTTTAGGTCCTACAACACATCAAATCTGATGGAAGACCTGAAGATTTTGTATAGAACAGCTGGTCAGCAAGGCAAAGGAATCACTTTTATTTTCACGGACAATGAGATTAAAGATGAGTCGTTTTTGGAATATATGAGTAATGTTTTATCATCGGGTGAGGTAGGAGATCCTTTATTCTTGATGTGTTTTGCCTCTTCAGATTCCCTCCGATGTTAGAGCTCTGTGTATTTCCTTCCATTAAAGTACTGAATAAGTGCTATTATTGGGATTAGGTGGTCGGTATGAAGAATGGGTTTTTCTGTTGGGTTTTCGAAGAATAAAAATCCCAATCAAAATGTGGAGCTATGCATTGAAAGCTCCAAGTGAGAAATGGAAAAACGGAAGAAGATTGCAAGGAAAGCTGGTTGGATTTTTGATATGTCCATTTACCCTCTTAACGGGCTATGACTTTCCAGTTAGTAATAGAATCATTTGTGTATTTTAAAACACGGTTTAAAATTCTGTCTAATCTTCCATCCTATGGAACATTAATGCTTCTCTTATTCTGTACATGAAAGGTGAGTTTAAGGACACAAATGAAGGAAAGAGATTATACATATTGAGCTGTATATTTTGATCTGTTTTCATATGCCTGTATTGAATTTGAATGTCTGCACTTTTCTCTAAGGTCTCCAACCTATTTGCTTGCGAAGAAATTGATGAAATTAATAGTGATCTCATATCAGTCATGAAAATAGAGTGCCCCGGGCGCCCTCCTACGAATGAGAACCTGTATGATTACTTCATGAGCCGGGTCCGGCAGAACCTTCACATTGTGCTCTGCTTTTCGCCAGTGGGGGAGACATTTCGAAATGGAGCTTTGAAGTTTCCTGCCCTTATTTCAGGATGCACTATTGACTGGTTCAGCCGATGGCCTAAGGATGCCTTAGTTGCTGGTTAGTGTGGTGGAAATTTTTATATCAGAGTTTCTGGTTTACTGTGTATATGTGTGTGTGTGTATGTATTTATATTCTGTGCTCTTTGCTGTCTCTCTACTGGATTGAGCCAAAAGTCACTTTGTCCAAGGTTTGAGGATTTTTGCAAGACTGTGCTCTTTCTCCTTTGGCAGCAATTTTTTTCCCAGAGCGTGATTATCAGCGAATGAGATCTTCAGTCTCTGCCTCCTTGGGTTAATTTACAGTGATTCTAGTGTTTTCATTGTGGTTGAAAGCTCTGTTTCAGTTGGTCCCCAGGCCAGTTCTAGGACGTCACAGGAGGACACTGCGGTTTTAATCTCATTTGTGTTCTTTTTTAAGTGGGTTGGCCAACCTCAGAGCAGTTTAAGCCAAGTATCTCTTGGACATTTCCTTCTTGTGGCTGCAGTGCTGGAAATCAAAGAGGAAAATGTTGTCAGCCCTCCTCTGATGGCTTCTGTGCCTGAAAAAAGATGTTAAACAGAGACTTTTATGACTGGAGCCCTTGCTGCTTCTGCTTCTGTCTAATCTTCCATCCTGTGGAACATTAATGCTTCTCTTATTCTATACATGAAATTGAACACAAAAGTTGTATAGGAGATGTTAGAGATCATCCCTTAAGTTTACGGGGTTTTCAGCTTTTGGTGAGAAATTATCTGTGGCTGTTTTAAAAGATAGAGATAGTTAGGTCTCACCTCTGACCTGTTGTAGCAGAACTTCAGAAGAACCCTGATTCAGGGCAGTAGTTTTCAAACTTTTTGTCTGATTATTGTGTCGTCATAATAATTAGGAGGAGTCTTGTTTTCAAGTAAAACATGACAGGTAGCCCTAATAGATAAAACAGTGAAAAGCAGAGGACAGGAAGGACTCTGAAGCCTCACCCTTTCACGGTGCTGCCAGCTGCTTCTGCATCTGCCTCTCCAGCTATGTGTACCCAGTTGGAGAACGACTGATTAACCGTCTCCTGCCCTTTATAGATGGAGAACTGGGGACAGTGGAGCTGAAGTAATTATCAGAGGTGCAAGAAGCCAATAGCCATAGGCAGCGTGTGTATATACACACACACATATAGAGTATATATATATTCTCAGCACACTACTCTTGATAATAATGGTTTTTCTGATCTGTGGCTTTTAAACACAAAATATTTTAATATATTTGAAGTACAAATGTACAGTGTTGTCTCTTGTAAGATTTGAGAAAACATCCATGATTTAAAATTTTAAGTCCTGTTAAAATTTGAATACAACTAAGGGTAAAACTTTAAAATTCCTTGAAGTAGGATATAAATGCAGAGCACAAAACCACAGTAGTTAAGAGCTATTTTAAGTTTACTATGAACTGGGATAATTAGTACGCAAGTGGTTTGTAGAATATCATGTAAGGTATTATTATTAATAATAAAAATAATTTCAGGTGACAAACACTGTAATATACTATAATTAGGATGACTCAATTTAAATAATGGAGCCCTTCCTGGCAAGTCTTTATTTCAATTGTCCCTTCTATTACAAGATAAAAGGTTGTTCCTTTGTTGATTTCTCACAAATCTTCCCCATTCTTTTAAATCTCATTGCATCAACCCAAGCCAAGGTTACATGGAGGGCAGGGAAGCTTTCCTTTCTGTGTCATCAGTTCCTAGCAAGTGTCCTGACTTTCATGCATGCATCTATTTTTTCATTTATTCAGAGCATAATTATTGAGCTTCATACACCATTTATGGAGCCAGGCATATTGGAGGGCAAGGCATTTCTTTGCCCCAGACCCTCTTCCCTGGCAAGCTCATCCACAGGCTCCTGTGTAATATGCCCCATCAGTTTTTAATCTCTGGTCTCGTCTGTCCTCTGGCTTGAAATCTGTGCCCTCAACTGCCTGCTTGATACGTTCTTGTAGATGTTTCATAGGCTCCTTAAACTCAAAGTGTCTAAAACTGAACTGGTTCAGCTCTGGTCACTCTCTCCCAGGAAGTCCCACGATCGTCCACGAAACTTGGCAACAGAAAACTCCTTGTCTTTAACACCTTTCTTTTCTTCAACTCTCAAGTCTGCTCCATCACTAAGTCATGCCAATTTTGTCTCCTAAATATTGGTGGGATCTATCCAACTCTTTCC